ATTTTCTAAAAGTAGTAATGATTTTGGTATAACCCCCCCCCACCCACACACACACATTTGGGGGCAGAACTTGACACTGTAAAGAGGCCTGATTTTCAGATGCAGGGTGCTTGGCACATTCTGAAAATCAGGCTCTTTTAAGCTGTTTTAAGATGAGCAGCTCAGCACTGATGGGCCCAAAATCACTAGCCACTTTTAAAAATATTGACTCCAACCCTCACCCCAATTTAATGTATTTAATTTATATAAAAGTTGATCTGTGAAGTTAAGGGAGAAAAAAAATCACTGTGGCAAACCTTCCACAATGATAAGTTGACATTTTCAAGCCCATCTCTGCAAAGAAGAGGGTCAGAAACTTACAAGGTGGTCTTTTTGTTTTAAATGAAAGCTGAGATAAGCCTCAACATTTCGGAGTCCCCAAATTTGGGGCGAAAGAAAGCATGGCCCAATGCTTCCAGGTCCGAAAGTCTGTCTCTGGGCAAGATAATTCCTAAACATTTAGAGTCCGCGAACTAACAAGGTTTCTTTGGCAGCTGGTGGGTTTGGCGCTGTGTGAGCGCGTGTCTGTGTGAGTTTCCCTAGCTTTACTCTTCATACAACTAAATCACTAGTGATAAGGTAACCAGACCTTTCTATAACACAGTCACAAAGTGCAGTCACACTCACCAGTGCATGGAAGGAGGAGACTGAGAAGATGCCCAGTCTCCCCAGTGCCAGTTTTGAAGGACGGCTGGTGGCAGCCAGAAGGCTCTTAGGGTTTGGTAACTCCCCACCTTGTAGACTCGCCAGGTAGCAGCGCATCCTGAAGAGGTCCATGTTAAATTTCTCTAGATTCTGCTCCCATTGCTGGATCTATTTAGATATAAAGAGGGACAATTAGAGGAAAAAATGTTTTTGTGGGTCTCGTTGAAAATGTGAGCTCTTCCACAAACTTCTAGTAAATTACTTTCATCTGGAGATATATGGATTGGATTAGTTTTCCCCCTGCCAAAACACATTCAGTCATATTGTGTTACAACAACTCAAAAAATGGCTTGAAATAAAACAAAGCTGGTGGTCCTAAATATATACTGACAAGATGAATGTATCATGGGTAGCCTGATTCCCACAGAAGCAATTACATAAAAACAAATCCTTGTGGTTCATGAAGTTTCAAGAAAATTGATTAATTTTGTTTCCTACATTTTTATGAGCTTAGATTCTATGTTTGGTTGCCTAAAAGCAAAGCTGCATGACTCAGCTAAATCAATCATCCAAGTAGCAATGTTGAGGGGTTTTGCTGGTCTTTTAGTGCTCTTCCTTTTGAATTCCCCATTCCTAAAGAAGCGGTAGCAACTGGTAACACCAGCATGTCTGGGTCTTACTCCTATTAACAGTTAAACCATTTCCTACACCTAATCATACTGTAAATGTGAATTAAATACATTATAAGCCTTATATATAATATAGAGCCTGCTGCAATGAAGAGTGTATTTGCTTAATACAATATAAACATATTTAAATATTTAAATACACACATACACGCTTGCTGAGAGTCCAATTTTTAAACTAAATTAGGCACCCAAATCCTAACCTGAGGAGTTCGAAGGTGAATAAATGTTCATTTAAGGTGTGAACTTATATGAATAAATTTCAAACTGAAGATCCAAATGCTGGACTGGATACTGAACACTGAACATAAGTACCCAAACTTGAAGCCTGGGCTTTTGTGTGTGTCTATATGTGCACAAGCACAGACATTTACATAATGTATGTGGGCCAGATTTTGCCCTTAGTTACACTAGTGTAAATTCCTGGATTTAGAGAGGTGTAAGTGCAGGTAGAATCAGGCTGACTATGTGTGTATTATATATTACATTACATTACATGACTCAACAGAAAAGAGCAGCTGTATTTTGCAAGTTAACCATGGCCACACTTAGGCCTAGTCTAGACTAGAAAATTGGTCAGGGATGTGAAAAATCCACCCCCTTGAACAGCATAATTATGTTGACCTAAGTCCCCATGCTGATAGTGCTAGATCAGCAGAAGAATTCTTCCATCGACCTAGTGACTGCCTCTTGGGGAGATAGATTACCTACACTGATGGGAGAATCAACTGGTGTAGGCAGTGTCTACACTGAAGCACTATAGTGGCGCAGCAGTGCCGCTGTAGCATTTTACGTGTAGACATACCCTTAGAAAAATGCTATCATCTGAATTCTAGAACTATTAAAAATTCAGTCTGGATAAGTACCTTTCAATCATTTATTGCCTACAGGACAAGCTGATCACATGGGTATAAAAATTCTAGGTGCACCGATTGACTAACACATTTGGCTTGAAGCGAAATCAGATCAGTTTCCTTGTCATGTCACCAAATATTAGAAAGAAATGAATGACTTCCTTGCCTAGTTTGTTACACTGCTAAATTCTGCTGGCTCCTTCTGAATGCTGCTCTCCCCAATGCACTTCAGGAAGAGTGCACATAGGTAGTAGTTAAGTATTGCTTCAGGAAAATACTGGAACAACCATATTTTCTTGATAGACATCTCAATTTCATTTCATTTCAAGGTCATCCACAGACAAGTCACCCTTTCCTAGTCCTTAATGCTTTATGAGTGACACAACCACAAGCAATGTAACCAAGGAAATGATTCAATAATAAAAAATAAAACAGATAATTCTGGATAAGCTACGCAACATTCTAATTTTTGCAATCGGTTTTTCATTTCTGCTTTAACTTGCTAATAGCTCTCTGAGTTGTGAGACTGCTTTTCTCCTGCCCTGATGCCTTATTTCTTATACATTTCTTAGGGCTCCTCTACATCACTAATTTTTGCAATGGCATTTGAAAGCACAATAAGTCCTGTTGGTATAAACCCTGCTTTACAATAGTGTAGCATGACACCTGCATGGGGGGAGTGTAGCTTCTCCAGCGCAAAAATACTTCAGGTAGACAAGTCTTGAGTTGCCAGCTACATACTGGCGTGAGACACCAGAGGTTCCAAATACATTATTCATTCTGAAGAAGTAGGATATGTTGTGGCATGTTTGATGCACACCCCTTTTTGTTTTCTCCAAATGTTTGTTTTAATGTCTGTGCTCCATTGAACAGGAAAATGACCATTTCCCACGGTAATGGATTTTTTTTTAATTCTCTTTCTTGCTATTGCAATTATTCCATAAGTAGAGGTACCATAGAAAGTCTCCTGTAACAGAGCTACCAGTGTTTGGGAGTACTGTCTTTTTTTCATCTCCTGCAGACAACAGAAATGGCTCAATTCACCACTGCATTGTTTTAGTTTTATGCTGGTGCAACTCTGTTAATTTCATGGGTGAAAAAAATGGAGTAATGCAGGGGTAAATCAGGCTTCTTATCATAAAGAAAGATGAGTGATGGCGGTGGTAGGAGCTGTACTGCAACTGAGTGAGGAGCCACTAAATGTTCTGGATTCACTTTGAGTTCCTCATTTATTGTCGCTCCACTCCTCCCCTCACACACGTGTTCACAAACATAAAGTTGGCACCATTATTACACAGGTCAGAGTTATCTGCTTCTCGGGCTCTTTAGAAAAAGAGCCAAAAAGAGAACCTCCAATTTTTCTGTGACATACCATCTCAGGGTATCCTTGATCAGAAAAACTTTATGTTATGTAAATCCAGAAAGAAAAAAAACTTTGAGGAGTGTTCTTCTCTTAAAAATGTAGTTTTAGGTCACAAAAAAGAGATACACAAATAAGACAGAGATATCCTTCACATAAGGAAAATACCTAGTTTAGTCTCACCAGAAACAAATTTTAAACACATGTATGTATGCTTGTGCATAAATCCTTCAAGGAACTCTTCCCCTCACCACTCACCCCGGATTTATTTTATGATTGTTCTTTATTTTAAGCTTCACTTTACTTCAACTCCTTTCACCAGACACACTTAATATGACACTTTTCCATCTACCTCTACTTCATGGATGGGGTAATATAGTATGTGGTTCAACAATAGTCTTCCCTCTCCATACACTGATGTCCACAGAATGAAAGTGTGTTGCAAGCTTTCCACAACAATAAAAAGCTCAGGTCTGTCTTTTCATGTAGGATTTGTCTACACTGCAGCTGAAAGGTGCGACTCCCAGATTGGGTAGAAGTACATGCATAAGCTTTGCTCAAAATAGCACTGGCACAGACAGCATCTTGGGCTAGCCTCCAAAGCGCATAGCTGGGGTCTTGGACAGGCTTGTACTTGAGCAATCAGCCCAAGCTGCAGCACGAGCTGCTGCAGTCACACTGCTATTTTTAGCATGCTACCTTGAGCAGAGTTAGCCTGTGTAAGTCTACACCCGCTGGAAATTACACCTCCCAGCTGCAGTGCAGAGACAGCCTTAGAATGGAATTTTCAAAAACGTTCAGCTGTTGCCAATGTCAGCTCCCACGGTAGTGATGGGAGTTTTCAAAGGAGGCAAAGTTAGGCTGAGTCTGAATACATTTGAAAATCCCACATTTAACAAAGAGAGTTGGGATTTTCCTGGACACTCAGGGAATTAGGCCCACCAACTCTCAGAAAATCATGGAGTTTAGGCACCAAAGTTCCTTAAACTCCTTTGAAAATCCCACATAAGCTTTTCTACAGAAATATATTTTAAATAAATATAAGCTAAAATTGGGGAGGGACAGGAAGAGATGATGCAAGGATCTTCTGGAGAAAGGATTACATGACTGTGTTTATCAGCCACGCAGGATGCTAGCTAATCAACTCCAAAAGCACCAGTAATCATGATGTTACGTTTAATGGCATTAGCAAAAGCTGTGGGCAGGGAATTTCAGGGATTGTCTTGTAGTCTTATCAAAACCAAGGATGTCTGGAACCAATTGGAGACTGTGAACCAATACCAGCTGCTACTTGTCTAAACCTTTTAAACTACGATAATTCTCCCTGCCCATGATTTATACACTTGAAGACTAAAGGGGAAAACTTACAATCTAAAAAGCAACAACTTCAAAGTAAAACTCATCCTGGTCCAACATGTTAATTACAATCCATGGGCTAGCAGCTACAATCCTTACTCTGCTTTTAACTTGAATGAGGCAAATATCCCATTGATTTCAGCCTGAGTTAAGACTAGAGGATTTAACCCCATGATGCACATACACAATAGCCCCTACTTCTAATTTAAGACAAGAGGTAAAAAAAAGTCAATGCAACAAACAATAGCAGGGAATGGAAGGAGGAGAAGAATGATAATGGGTATGGTAGGTGGTTACATGTATGATTGGCTAGCTAAACAGACTTGATGGTTTTGAGACATTAAAAAAAAAACAACACCCATACACAACACAACAGAAAACACTTCTGGCCATCCACCCAGCCATTATCAATTGTAGGTAGGACAAAGGAGAGGACAGTCAGATTGCCTGGCCACATGGCAAGCTAGAATTCTTCCAGGTAACCGCAAGTATTTTGTTCCTAATAGTAAATGTTTTGATTGATAGACGGAGATCTGCAAAGCCAACTAGGGGGGGTTGGATGCTCAATTCCCATCAACGGCATCCAAGTCCCATTGGTTTTAAAATCTCAGCCAGAGGTTATAAATCTCCTTGAAGAAGTAGGTTTTGGAAAGGGAATTAAAAGAGGACAGGGATTGGCATTGTATACATTATAGTCAGAAACAGAGGTCCAGTTTTAGAGAGGTGAGCATGGGAGAAAAACAAAGGGAGCATCCACGTAAGTGCCTTGAGAGAGAAAAAATGAGACAAAGGCAGAAAGATAGAAATGAGATAAATTGTGGCAGATCTTGAAGACATGGATGAGGTACTTGAATGATGTAGGCTGAGGGCCACTAAAGGAATTGTAGAGTGGTTGAACATGGTTCGAGTGCT